TTTTTTTTCTCATTGAAAATAATCTCTCTCTCTTTTTTATTTGAAAGCTATTTAGGTGATTTCACACATTTTTTAAAATAATATAGAATATTTTAAATATTTTACACATTTTATATAATAATTTACATATTTCTACACATGTTATACAATATTTTATATGCTTTTAATATTTTATATCGACATGTTTTACGGTGTTTTTACAAAGTTAATTTTCAAATGATATTACAACAAATTAACATATTATATTACACATTGACTCCATATTTATAATTTATAAATATTGTTTATCAATAAATCAGAGTACCAACTTCTTCGTAATTGATTTATTTATCTATCATTTAATTTATGGTATATATAATTACATATTACGTCTTCTGCTCTAAATAAAATTACACTGAAATAATACAATTTTACACTTCTAAAAATATGTTTTCATATCCTAATTACAAATTTTAATGGTACGAAAAATATCTTATATTTATTATATATATTTTAAAAAGTATGACGATGCATGTAATTAATTTTATCATATATCATATGTTAGATGTTATTAATTTGACTGTGGAGACTCATTCAATTTAAATAAGATATAACTAATACAACGCCCGTGTATTGCACAGGTGCTTGCTATTTTTTTTCTTAAAATCTAAAATTAATGAGAAAAAGTAGTTAAAAATTTAAATACCTTTTATAAAAATATATATTATTATATATTTAGTATGACACTTTTTATTTGTGTGACTTACCTGTGTTATATTATAATAATATTTTAACGTACAACATATAACTACATTAAACATAAATATATCAACTGAGAAATAATTTAATTTTTAATAAATTTTAATAAATATTATTATTTTTTATTATTATAACAATATATACATAATTTATTTATTTCATATATACAACATGGATGTCAAATCATAGATCATCAAAAAATGATTAATTTGATATATTATATATGTGAAACTGATAAGAAATACAAAAATTATCTAACTTTTAAAATACATTTACAATCAATAGCTAATTGAAGGAAGCAAATCAAAAGTCAGGGATATATTAGTCACTTAGTGCCTCACTATGTAAAATTACAAAGAATTAAAGGGTTATATTAGTACAAGTGACATTAAAATACCTAAGTTAGCTAAATAATATATATAGAATATCCGAAACTAAATTATTAATTATTAATATATCAATTTTATTTGTCCAAAACCAAATTACGAAGCATGATTATTCGCCAAATAGGATTCCAAAACACCAGAAGTAGTACGTAAGCTCATCGCATTCGGGAAATTATATATAGGGGAGGAGATATTTATTTTTTAAATAACAAATGCAGTAGTACAAGCAAGGCGCAAAGAGCCAAAAACTCCTTCGGAACTATTTCACTCTCAATAACCATTTACCCATCGTCCAAGAAACCGAAATTATATCACGCAAAAGAAAGCAAATTCGGGTTTATACTTTGTTTGGTTCTGTCCGTTTCAGTCTGATTTCCATTCTCTGCAGCCATGGTGCTCGAGGTTCGTCCTTTATCTCGATTTTGTGTGTATGTGCTTTTTTATCTACCTTTTTAAATTAGGGTTCATTTTTTTTTGTTTATTTTGGCTGAAATAGGCAACGATGATCTGCATCGACAATTCTGAATGGATGCGCAATGGTGATTACTCCCCTAACCGATTCCAAGCCCAATGTGACGCCGTTAACCTGATTTGTGGAGCTAAAACTCAAGTATTGTTCATGGCTAGTGTATTCTGCTTCTGTGGTCATGTTTATTCTAGTTAGTTTGGATTGTTTTCATCTTAGCGTTGTGAAACCATGTTGATTTGTGTAATTGTTTGTTGTATTTGTAGTCGAACCCTGAGAATACCGTGGGAGTCTTAACAATGGCAGGAAAGGGGGTTCGGGTATTGGTCACTCCAACAAGTGACCTTGGCAAGATATTGGCTTGCATGCATGGTTAGATATTTTTCTTGTTTCTACAATTTTATTGTTTTTGATTTGTAGAATGGTTTTGAGACTACTGGAGACTCCGTGCACTCGTTACAATTAAAATTTAAGAATGAATTTCGCCCAAGTTTCGATTATTACTTATTTTCGAGTTCTCATTGTTCATGTGTTCTGATATGGGATAAGGGAGAAGAACAAGTATTGGTTATAAAGACGAGGAGTTTTGGCATGTTCTGTCAATGATGGTGTATTAGTTGTTTATTAGTCTATTATAATTGTTGGTGAGTTAGTAGACAGGCGCAGTAGTAGTGATGTTATTTTTATGCATATATAGGTTTAGAGGTAGGTGGTGAGATGAACTTGGCGGCTGGGATCCAGGTTGCTCAGTTGGCCCTTAAGCACCGCCAAAACAAGAAGCAGCAGCAAAGAATTATTGTGTTTGCAGGAAGGTACTTATACACTTGGAGATGTGCTCTAGACTAAAAATATTGGCTACTGTGTCCATATTAATTTCTTATGTAATCCTTTTTCCTATATTTATAGTCCTTTTAAGTATAACAAGAAGGTGCTCGAGTTGATTGGAAGGAAGCTGAAAAAGAATAGTGTAGCTCTTGACATTGTAAACTTTGGGGAAGAAGATGAAGAAAAGAATGAGAAGCTTGAGGCGTTGCTTACTGGAGTAAATAACAATGACAGCAGCCATATTGTTCATGTCCCTCCTGGTCCAAGCGCTCTTTCGGATGTGCTTATTACGTACTCTATTTATTCTGAATTTCATTTACCTCCAATGTTTATTGTACATCATATGATTATTCTCCCCTCTCTTTTCTGCAGTACCCCCATCTTTACTGGAGATGGAGAAGGGGGAAGTGGCTTCTCAGCTGCTGGAGCTGCTTCTGGGTATGAATTTGGTGTGGATCCCAACTTGGATCCTGAACTTGCCCTTGCTCTTCGAGTATCAATGGAAGAAGAGAGAGCAAGGCAAGAAGCAAGTGCCAAGAAGGCTGCAGAAGAAGCTTCAAAACAGGAAAGAGGAGAACAGCCGACAACAATACAAGATGCCACAATGACTGAGCATGCGAACCCTGGAACTTCTGAACCGGAAAAGAAGACAAATGATCTGACGGTTGGAAATCTCTTTTCTTCAAAATGCTTATGTAGTTTGTTGCGTGTCTTTGTTCTCTGCTTTTTTACTTATTCAATTATTCTCTTAAAGCTTTGTAGCAGGACATGTAAACACTTGAGTTTGCTTCATATGCTGTTTTACTGGAGAAGTCGTGAGTTTGCGTATGCAACTCATACGTTGAGTTGCTTGAACTAGCATTATTCCTGCAAATATAAATAAAAACTTTTAAAATATGGAACTATGGTTATATTATTAATTGACCACCATATGGGTGGAAATGATATTAAGTAACTTTATAGGGTGGTACTTGTCGGGTCTCATTTTTGGAGTATATTGATTAGGTTGGATGTACATGCAAATTTATCTTTCCTCCCGGATGTGTGCTGGCGTATCGAAACTCTGATATATTATGTTGGAGGATGTTTATCCTGTATTTGCTTTGTTGCTTTCTTGTATGAACTGCTCACATGTCTTATTTTGAATTTTCTTGATGCTTTCATGAGACTTATGAATAGTTAATTTTTTTCAAAACAATGCATGCGTCAGATAGAAGCAGATCAAGAAGGAAAACTAAGGCTGCAATTGGATACAGAAATTTTTCATTTTATTTCCACCAAAGAAATTTTGTTTTCCCAAAGTTGTGGTTGGAGACAATTTTTCATAGAATACTCTACTCACCTGTTTTTAATCCCATCAATACAATTTCTAAAGTAAAGACCAGCTATTACTATTCATTTCCTGACAAGTTTTACTATTAACCTGCTCAAATACTACTGACTACAATCGTATTAAATCATTATTTCACCAACTTTTATATCATATCAACTTCTAGTCATTTCATACTGATTTTGTATTCACTTACATTATAACAATTCATCATTTTTCTTCCACAACTTCTTTTTATCGCTATTCTCTAGTGGAAGCGAACTTTTCATATCCAATTAGCCAAATGAAACGTCTGTGTAGATCCATGTGGTGCCTGGTAGAGGATCCAGAAAAGCTTCTATTAACCAATACGGTGCTTGACAAGAAATTTTTTCTGTCTTTAAAAAGCCGCTTCCATGTGATGTCCTATCTTGTGGAATGGTATTGGATGTGGGTTATTTTCAGTCTAAAGAATGATTCACATAATTGTTTGTCATTGACATGGATATGAGATTCAGTTATTCTGATTATTCATCGATGTATTTGTCCTAGGTGCTTTGTATTCCCTTTACGTGTACAAGTACAAGCTCTTTTTCTTACTCTATTAAGTGGTGCAATTTTCTTACGAATGATCCTGAACATCAAATTCAGTGTTCTGCGATCTCTTTAGCTGCTGCTAACAAATGATATATTCTTGCATTCTTACAGGATGATGAGAATGCATTGTTACAGCAGGCTCTAGCCATGTCCATGGATGATTCTTCCTCTACTGTTGTTCATGACATTGACATGTCAGATGCCTCTGCTGATGATCATGATTTGCAACTTGGTGAGAGCTTACTATCTGCTAACATGCTAGATTAAGATGTTTCATGCTTGAATCGCTTATCTGATGGAGCAAGAGACAGTGTGTGTGTAATTTTTTTGTCCTTTAATATCATTTTTTACGCTTACTGTTTCCTGAAATTACTACCTGTTTTGAAATTTTAAGTTAAGGATTGTTTATTTTAGATTACCGAACCATATGTTTTGTGTGTTCCAGTGTCACCAAGTAAATTGTATCCAAAATTGCTGAACGGATGTGATGTTTGGGTGTTTGTACTATATCCTTTTATGCTGCCAAGTGTGTTTGTTCCTTCTGTCACTAGGAATAATCTATGTCAGTTGGTTTTACCTTCTTTATTATGTTAAAGAGATGAAATGGTAACAGAATATGATTTGGTGCTTGCTTGAGCCACCTCGTCCAAGCCTTTCTGTCCATGCCATGAATCGATATGGAAGGTCAAATCTGTCTAGTAGCAAATTTAATTGAATGGTAGATTCATAGTGAATAATTCATTTTAACTGAGTAACTGCAGCAAAATTCTCTAAATGTTTTGCAAAAGTAACATTGAGAAACATCTGATAGAAGGATGCTCATTATATATAGCTGAAGTTTGATTTTTCAGTTAGTTATAATGATTGGTTAGAAGGATGCTCATTATATATAGCTGAAGTTTGAGTTTTCAGTTAGATATAATGGTTGGTTAATATTGTTCATTTGTATACTCCATCCTAATTCATTGTACTTTCCATCCCATGTCAATCCTTATGTGGGTTTGACCTGATGGAATTGTTCTTCTGACTCAATCAGTTGGTTCTGTTTTGTTGAATCCCTTCAATTATCTGTGCAAGATAATTCAGGAGAACAATCTAACCCATCGGATGAGGATAAGCTGTTGGCAGATCAAGCCTTGTTGTCCATAATTGACCAAGTAAGTGTTGTGCTGAACATCCTTGTTTTCCTTGCCATAATTTCATTGTAGAATGATTCCTTATGTATTGAAACAAAACTTATCCAATATTCACTGTTGTATTTCTTGTCCAACTCCCTTTAACAGCTGCTTGATAAAAATGACCCTAGTGTCAAAGAGTTGATGGCTTCTCTGCAGAGTCGGTGTGAGGTAATGTTAAGCAATTGATATTGCTTGAAGAAAAGAATCTTGGTTTTTTAATTTTTACTTGATCATTTCTGTTTAGAACATTATTAGTATACTTTTGCATTAATATAAATATATTACCTCTTTCTCTGTTGCACTGATCCCTGTTTGTGCAACCTTAGTCCATATTTCTTTTCTTGTTTTCCTTGATATGGTAGTAACCTGTACTATCCCTGTAGAAGAAGGAAGAAGACAAGACACCACCTAAAGAGGACGAGAAGAAATGAATCACGAGTACAACAAAGATCAGAGGTACAAATCTTTGCCATATTTAACACACGTCCCCTTTTTTTTGCATAACGTTCTCGGCTGTTTGTTTCATCTTTTGTCCATATATTTCTTTTGATGATAGTATGTTGAGTATATTAAGCTATGGGAACTTGTGCTTGTGTATGCCAGGGATCTTTAATGCATAGTTCTTGATGTGTTTTGAACAGGCGATGCTCCTTATTGTTTTCTACCAATGGAGAATTCGCCGTGAACGAGATCATATGCCATGACAATGAAGTGGTGTATGCTATGAACCGATTTTGGGCATTATGTAATGAATTTGAACAAGTAGTTGGTTCTTGTTCTTTGTGTTTTTTCTTTAATGGTTTAGCAATGCATGAATGAAGAACTTATATGGGACAATTATAGATTAGCAATATGTTCCAACTTCCAAGCACTAATGCATGTGTTCCTTGTTTAGTACTATTATTTACTTAACTAGTACAATACTCGTGTACTACACGGCTACTTGTTAAAGAAAATTATATATGAAATTAAATAATAACCAACAAAAATGGTTTTAGTTTTAAAATACTTTTTTGAAAAAATATATTATTATTTATATTTAAAATAACACCGTCACACAACTTACCGTTATATATATATATATATATATATATATTCTTTAATTTATATCAGGTACATACTTTGTAGTTAAATTAGTTTTAAAAAATTTAGTTTTTCGAATGAATATTAATAAGTAATTTAATTTTAATTATAAATCTAAATAAACTATTATGTATTTGTATGTATAATAAAGATGTCAAATTGAAGTTCATCAAGACATGATTAATTTGATATAATATACAAGAATTGTTAAGAAATAAAAACTTTGTTAATTTTTAAATATCTTTATAAATTATTTTTTCAAGTTGATATTGAGTCTGTGTTTTTGTTTGTGTAATTAATAATGATGAACTAAATTTATATATTCCAATTATATTGATAATATAATTAATAAAATCTTAACTAAACATGTTCGTTATCTTAATTCTTATCAATTTTAACCCTTATCTTATTTTTTTCAAGTTCATATATTTTAAGCAGAATAATAGAACTAATAATGTTGTGTACAAAAATATTTTTTTAGAGTTTGAAATAAAATACTAATGTACAACATTTTTTGTTTTATGAAAACTTCTATTTATTTATTTTGCATGTACTTACAATACAAAACTCTTTTACTTTTTATGTTCATATTATTTTTTTATACACCCGTGTAGTACACGGGTATCGTATTAGTACTCATTACTACATAAAAAAATTCAAGATACAATTAAAAAAAAATATATCTAAACAAGGTGAGCGAGTTAGGAAATAAATACTAAACGATTCAATAAATGAAACCTAATAAAAAAAAGCGAATGAAACCTATAAATAAAATAAATAATAACAAATTATATGGAGTCATCGGATGATTTTCTTATAGAGAAATTAATCAATTAATACATTGACACATGTCCAAATTGTATTTATTATAGGACATTTGTCAATACCCTAGTGGCGAATAAGTGTGGAGGACTCCATAACAAAATTAAATACATATCTAAATGAGATATACTACAAATAATCGTAGACTTTGTTATGGACAACATACCCTTAATCCGTGCTACGTAGTCTCTTAAGCCTATCCTTGATACTTGGTGTAAGAATAATTATGATGCTTATTATTATTATTATTATTATTATTATTATTATTATTATTATTATTATTATTATTATTATTATTATTATTATTATTATTATTATTATTATTAAATAATTAGTAGTTAGCTTGGGGAATAAGCTAGGGTTTAGATTGAAAGTCTTATTTAAAGGGCTCTTTTAATTTGTTATGGATGGTGACTTTTGAGAATAAATCTCATATTGTGAGTTCGTGTGTTTTACGAGAGAGTATCTCGTTTATTCTTCTCACTCGTACGCTTCTCTACATTAATACTCCACTTAGTAACCTCATTTTTGTTTATTCTTCCCACTCGTACGCTTCCCTACATTAATACTCCACTTAGTAACCTCATTTGTATCAACCGCTCAAACTTATGCCAAAACAACAGGATGTATTGCAGCATCAACAACAACATTTTCCTACAATAAATAAAGTTGCAAATATAATTTACACTAGTATTCTACATGTGTATTTGCACAAATGTAAATAAAATATTGTGAGTTATTTGTATACATATAATGATTAATTCTTTTTCTTTCACGTTTTTGCAGCCAAATTTACAATTAAAGGAGTTGATTTTTTGTTAAATTGCGTTTATTAGATTGCATGTAACGTATATTTTGGTATGTAATATTTTTAAAATTATTTATAATTTATTTAGGAGTTTCATATACTTTTTTTATTTTCAAAAAAAAAAAATATAATTTACATGTAACCACAATTATAATATCTAATCACATTATCAAAAGTTCAAAATGATTTTTGTATTTTAAATTGATTAGTGTATTGATTATCTATTAATTAGGTTAAATAAATGAAAAGTAACGGTTTTTTGGGGGAAAATATAAAAATGTCACCTAGGTATAATTTATGAGGTATTCTTAAATGTAGAAGAACTAGTAATTATATATATAGATAATCGTATTAGTGCAAATAAAGTAGCAGGGATACAGGGGAGGGGAGGAGCCTTATTAGGGCCAGTGTGGGCCTAGGACCAGTGCCTAGGCCCACACTGAAAAAAAAAATCTTAATATTACTATTAACACATATTACTTATCTAAAAAAAAAATATTAATTATGCCCTATGAGTCTAGTAAAAATTGTCCAACTCACAAAGACTAAACTCTTAGTATTACTATTAGTCCATATGAGATCAATAAATAAGCTTAATATAATTAACTAATAAAGCATTTAACAAAATAATTAAACAAAAGAAAAGAGTGCAGAGATCACGCAGATAAAATACAGAGGGAAACAAAAAAGGGGAAAAATAAGGAGAAAAGACAAAAGTCAAAGAGTTTGTCAATTTTCGATCCAGCTATACAGGAAGACTACTTACAAGATAATGAAATTCTTTCTATTTATTTTTAGTCGAGATAAAAATTACTCTTCTTTATTTTTTAGATAGTGGTAAATATATTCTTTTTATGGAAAAATTGCAAATTCAAGCTCTTTTTAGGTTTACAACTATTTAAAGTGTGATATGTCAAGATAGAGAATTTCATTTATTGTAAATTTATAATATTACTTTTGCATATCAGACATTGAGAAATATTTTCAAGAAAGGTCATGACAACAAATCTTGTGAAAATATCTCAAAAGAAGATACATTGAATCCAATTAGATTTGAGGGAAATCCTATTATTTTTGGGCAGAAAGAATATAATACAGGAAATTTGATATCAATGCGAAAATTAGTCAAGATGATCAAGTTTTATTCTCAAGACTTTTCTATATCCGATGTACACATTCTTGAGGATCAGTTGCAGAACTATATTGTTGATAAGAGTTTTAACAGTTTTTGCATTTGTCTTTTTCATTAAGTTTCTTATATTTTTTAATTATACAGTTAGGCCCCCGCTCACTATATTTGCTAGATCCGCCCCTGCAGGGACATAACCGAGCCTTTAACTTATACGTACGTTGTCTACGATCATCTCCAATCCAAATCGTACCAGACTCCTATTCCTATGCGGGATACGAACACACACACACCAACATATGCACGTATGAATGTATATAAAGCGGGCCATGAGTTGAATAGACGACAACACGCAAAGTATTAATCGGCAAAAATAAAATCGAATGGTTTTGGTGTTTGAAATCCTGTCTAGGCTGCCCACGCAACCCTTGCTCCGTCTGAGGGTGGTCTGCAGATCATGGCGGTCCCTCATCCTCACCCCCGAATTCCTTTCCTTGCACCTCCGCCATAACCGCCGCACCGCCTCCCAAATCGTGCTATGCGACGAAAGTATTGGGAATTCCGACCACACCGAAACTCCGCCCAAGATCCGCTGGAAATAATAAAACTGGAGAACACAAAGTTTAACGTGGAAAACCCTCTGTTAACGAAGAGGGAAAAACCACCAGGGCAACAAGGCCGTAGAAAATCCACTATGTAAAAATTACACAATTTTTCTACACTCACTTATACCCAATATTACCCCCACAGAATTTTCTATCCGTTAACCTTAACTCTCACCCTAAGGGATTTTTAACCAGAGATTAATTGTTAACACAATAACTCTGTGGGATGATTTTACATAAGAAGTAGCACTTTCTTATATAGGGGAAAACTCCCCTCCTCTCTCATCCCACTTCCGATGTGGGACAAAAGAGCAAAAAACTCAACAAACTCCACCTTGCGATTTTGGCCCATCTGACAGCCACTATTCACTTTGATGAAATTTTCCAGAGCTTTCGCTATCATGCTCCACCATAAAAGCATATCCACTCGGACTCGCATCCAAGCATTTCTTCGGCCCATGTCGAAATAACCTTGCTGAAATCTATGGTGCAACTTCCACGTTTGGCTTTCCTAGAAGTTCATCAGCCCTCGACACGCTTTTTCCACCACACACCTTGCATCACCGCCAAACCAATGCCCGTGTGTAAATTGTGGACCCGCTAATTGTAACACGTCCTCTTTAATGACACTTAGCAACATGCCATAAGGACTCCCCTTTCTCTCTTAGCAAAACTCATCCATGGAGAGAGAGACAAAATTAGCTTCTTCGGATCTCCACTTACCGACTTGGAGCTTTTTGCCGAACCTGCTCCTCCTTTCGGACAATTTCTTTTCACGTGCCCAGATTGTCCACACGTCCAACAAATCACAACTTGCTTCTTCCTGGAGTTTATCTTCTTTCCGTCACCGACGAGCATGACTTGACCTTCCGGTGAATTGTTTCGTCCACCATCTAGCCTTCTCTCTTCCGCAAGAAGTTTACTAGTGACTTCAGAAAATACAATTTTCTCCTTCCCATGAATCAAGATCTGCTTCATGTGTTCATAAGAAGTTGGAAGAGACCAGATGAGTCTCAACGCCTGATCCTCATCATCAATCTTCACTCCAATGGATTCCAGCTCCGAGACGATCCCATTGAGAACGCGTAAGTGGTCTGAGATGCTTTGACCTTCAGTCATTCGCAGTGTGTGAAACTGCTCCTTCAGATACACCCGATTTGAGACGCCTTTAGCCTGATACAACTCCTCAAGCTTGTCCCATAATGCTTTTGCCATCGAAATTCCATGCACATTAGCAAGAACATTCTTGGCCAGACACAGTCGTATCGCGCTTGCCGCTCTCAAATCCAGTTCCTCCCAATCTTCATCGCTCATTCCAGATTTGCTCACACCAGCATTTTCTTCAGTGGTGCTGGTAGCACTGCCTTTGGGAATTTCCAAGCCCTTTAAAGCTTTGTGTAACCCCGACTGAATCAGCACGTCCTTCACTTGCACTTGCCACAAGCCAAAGTTGATTTTTCCGTCGAATTTCTCCACATCAAATCTCGACAGATTCGATATCTTATTTCCAGACATCTTCGTGAATTAGTGAACACTAACTTCGCAGAAAACCGAGCAGCAACCTTGAATAGTACTGATCAGATAAATTCTCAGGGAGGGTATCGACCTGCCCCCTAAAGAATTACCCTTCTAAGTAAGCTCCCAGGAAAGGCTGGTGGGGTCACAACAGTCCCACTTAAAAACCAGTCTCCTAGACAGAACCTACTTACACAGTAATTATTCCCCACTGCCCAAAAAACTCCTCCGCACACAAGCTCCACCCGTCACTGGCTCCA